AATTCATCAGAGAATCAAAACCGAAAATCGCAAGCATAAAATTGCAATTGCGATCGAACCGCCACCGTCGGAGCGCCAAAAGGAGTCACTCAGATTTCTATAATAATAATAATAAATTCATAGCGTCAATAAATGAAGTTGAAAGGCACAAAGACGCAGAAATGAGAAATGTTCAGATACATAGCGAATATCCCTCGAGTGATCTTCGCAATGACGCGACGTTTTTCCCCTCCGTCTATAAATGCCTACACACGCTCTTTCTTAGAGGGCGAAATGAAGGTAATTGCCATCCATCCCACAAGGTTCCGCAGAAATTGGAGTTCGTAGAGTTTCGCTCCATCACGCCCACCCTGTTGCTGGGAGACGAAATCCCTATTAGTATGTCGCGCCTACCCCTCCATATGGGCCAAGTATTCCAAAAATTCAGCTGAAGGGACGAAATGAAGGCGTCGAAGTCGAGTGCTTCCACGACCCTTGATAACGGCGAAACGACGATCAGGCATCCTCCGAAGAGAAAATCCGACGCCCTTCCCGACTGGGAACTGCTCGACATCCCGACTGGAAACTGCTCGATGCCCTTCCCGACTGGAAACTGCTCGATGCCCTTCCCGACTGGAAACTGCTCGATGCCCTTCCCGACTGGAAACTGCTCGATGCCCTTCCCGACTGGAAACTGCTCGATATATATTTTTTTTATTAAAGGACAAGCCGGCCTGCGCCGGGTCTTCAATCCGCCTGCTCATCGGAAGGGGAAAAAAAAAAGTAATAGTAGATCTATGTGCATCGTCATCGTTCGTACAGTGAAAGACCTCGAAGTTTCTTCACGGGATGAAGGCGTGTAACGGGCGCTTCCATCGTGATACATAACACCGCTCGGAATCCATTATTTCCGTTAAAATATTCAGTCACTTCTCAGTCAGAACGAAGAAAAACCTTTTTGACAGGTTTTTGGCTGCCAGGCGACTCATCATTTCATCTCTGATGCCCCCGCGAATTCACCTCCAGAGAGAGAGAGAGAGAGAGAAAAGAAAAAGGTTTTAACGGACTTCTAAACGGGCATGGAACTGTCGCAGTAAATACGTCTCCGAGCGGACATAAATCTAGTCCGGTTCGCAGGTGAATAGAGCGATCCGAGCGGAGACTGCGGTCTCGGTCCCATGCCATGGTCCCATGCAATGGTCCCATGTCGTGGTTCCATGCCATGAGTCCTCGACCCCGAACAATTCTCCAGGTCGCCACAATTACGAGTCGACGCGATTACCGACTCCTTCCGGTTAAAACTGTGCTTGAAATTGTTTTGGACGAGTAATTTTCACTCACGCCTCGATTCTCGCAGAGATTTCCCCCGTCGGTTCGGCGAGAACATTCTGACGTTCTGCACATTTGCCCTCGCATTCGCTCGCCAATCCTGCGCCGATGCATTTCAAAACCACGAGCCAAAAGGAATGTAAAGCTCCTTACATTGCACACCTCTAAGGAAGGAATCCGCAATGGTTGAGACAATGCGCTGGATTCTTGCCAGATGAGACTCCAAGTCCGACTCGATTGCCGCTCGGAGTTGCACTTATTTCGACTCGGTTTGACCCTATTTTATAATATAAAAAAAGACTTAAAGCGTTTCTAAATCATTTAAAGAGGCGCCGACAACCCCGATGGATAATGTTTTAAATATATATTATTAATACTAATGCCGTTATTAATATTAAAATATGGCGTCTCACGAAGAATGCGAAGCGATGAGAAACGTCCTCGAGGCATCGCGGCGATTTCGGCAATTAGCTTAAATCAGACGAGGAACTGAAACGGCCCATACTGCTGACGTCATGCCCCGAACGGGAGGGAAAAAAAGCGGAAACGAGGAGTGGCTGCTGGAATTCCTAAACATTTTCTCGTATTTGAAGAGTAAGATCCCATGCAGGCCCCTTGCACTTCCTCTCATCCAAGCTATCACGGGCCGAATATAAACAAGTCACTCGGTGAAATGGGATCTTCCAACAGCCTTCATGGAGGGAAGAGGAGTAGAGGGGGGAGGGGGGGAGGGGGGGAGTGGGGGAGGGGGGTTGCATCCCATCAGAAGGCGAGGCACTCGCGGAGCAGGCGGCCATTTGACCAATTCGTCCACCTCGGTGCGGAGATTCGCAAGTGGTTTCATCGCTGGACGCGTTTGATTTCGATCGAAACTCTTGGATGCCCATGCTCGGTCTCAGAACGAGGTGCATGCCGAATTTCATGGCGAAACTTGCAAGAAGTTGGCTTCGGAATGGATTACCTCGTGTGAAAATAAACTCGTTTCTGAGATTTTCCGAAACGTCAATCTACACGTCCATCCACACGTCCATCCACGCGCCCATCCACGCATCCGTCCAAACATCCACACATCATCCGCGCATCCATCCAAACATCTCTCCATCCGACCAAAAGGGCGAATCCGATCGAGCTCGAATGAGGCGCGGAGAGAAAAATGAGGGAGACACGAGGATGGAATTCTTCTCCACGACCGCTCGAAATGAGCCTTCACAAGTGGCGCTTCGCAAGTGGCGCTCTCCTCACGTTCGGCAACGCCTTCATCAACGGGACCGTGTGGCCGCGACATTGAGCCGGACGAAAGCGATTTCCCGCATCCTCGCCCCTTTTCATCGTCGCAACAGACTCCGAATATCCAGAGCAAACCGATACCGAAGGACGGTCGATGACGCAACGGAGCGGAAACGCTTCGAGTCGAGAAGAAAGTTCAAGGAAAGATTTCCTGGAAGATCCAGTATTCATGAAGAAAGACGCCGAGTGAAAGGCGAAAACACTTAAGAAATCAATACGCAGCCCTCGAAGATGCCTAATCGCCACATCGCGATCCCCATCTCACGTGTGAGAGATTCCCCTCTCGTGTGAGAGAATCGGCTCTCATGTGAGCCTCGTTATCGTCCCGTGGAATCTGTCAACCTGGACTCGTAATGAAAGCCCTGGGTCATAAAGCTCGGTCGGGAATATTTCATTTTCTCTGTCATTTGTCTTTGGATCGTCAGACAGAGCTTTCCTTCTTCTTCCTTTGACTAGTAGCCGCATCCTAATCACCTGAAAGGGGGGGAGGGGGGGGGGGCATGTGTGTGTGAGTTTCATTCTGCGAGACGACTTTAAGCGGAATAAAAAGAGCAATTAATGGAATAAAGGGTGGAGAGGAGGCACGGGGATAATGGTGTAATCTAATGGGATAATTGATATGAAACTCTATTGTCTGCCAAACCGATAGCGAGAAGGGCGACCGGTTAATTTGTCAGACACGACTGTCGCTGTCAGTTACATTTACATTAATTTCAAATAAATTCCGTCGCCTTTCCAGCTCTTCTCGTTAAAATTCTTCGAAGACCTTGGCAACGACATCGTTTTGCAATCGTCGTCTTTCCGCGGCAGGGGCCCCCCTCGAGGGGGGCGGGGAGGGGGGCGGGGGGGCGGTGGGGTTGGGCGGGGCTGGACGTGTAGAGATAACGGACCGGGCAAAGCCCAATTCTTAACAGCGAGTTCGGGAGGCAGGAATTGCGTGCAGACCTGGGTGCTCGCCCCACCCATCTCAGGCGGTTCCACCCCGCAAGGCCTGTTCACCCAAACTTTTTTTTTTTTTTTAATGATTTCAGAGGTGATGGACAGAGAATAGCAGAACAGCATGGCACTTTCCCGAACACGTTTTTTTTTGTCATCCCATCAGTTTATGTTCGCGTTTCATCTGTGACGAAGTACTCGGGAGGAAATCTGATTGGTCTCGAGACGATCGATGAGAATGCACAACGTCATCTGTCACCCGAGTTCCTTTAAGAATGCCACGAACCAGCAGTAACATTAACGATTTCAAAAAAATCCCAGACGTGGCCAGATGACCAAGATTCTACCTCTCTCCCCTCCCCCTTCTTTCCAAAAACAGGTTTGGATGGAGAAAAGAATGAACTGCGTAGGGAAGAAAAGAATTAAAACTGCGTAGGGAAGAAATAAAATTACCCAGCCTCCTAACCCTGTATTCAGAGCTTCCCCCATCCACCATGTGGTGGGCACCCCAGAGACACACCTGACACCCCTTTCTCCGAACTCCGTCTGACAGACTCCTCGGGATTCGACCCATCGGTGCTCGAGGACCGAACGAGGACGGGCGGGGCACAATATCCCTTTCCTCATTGGTACTTAATCGATGACGTCATCCCCCCTCCAATATTCGTCCTCGGCCCGCGGACGAGATTCCGCAACTTCTCTAATGTAACGGATGATGACTTATGGAAAGCAGTCGATTTGCATCTCTCCTCCAGAATATGCCAATCCTGAATTGCATCCGGATCTCATGATGAACCTCGTAGTGCTTCGGGATTCGAATCGACTTCCGTACCTGATTCGCAGTTCGATTCGAGCTGCGATCCGTATTTGCACATCACACGTCCTCACGTTCACCCGTGGGAGTGTGTTCGATTCTATACGATGACCCTCTCGTCGTCTCACGACTTATGAATTCTATTAAGGATACTGGAAAACGATATGACGCTCGGCTGTCCAAATGTGATCTCGTCGCTTAAATTCTACATCGTCAGGATAGTTTTGCAAAAATAAAGTCATTTTTGAGGTAGATGGGGATTGGGGAGTGTGCACTCAGTATTCGCATTATGAAGGAAACCTGGATTGGATTAAAATATATACCAACAGTAGAAGCATGCGTAGTCTACTGAAATGCAAGCGTTAGCTCACGTGGGAAAAGCTCATCTTCCAAGTAAACCGGGTCTTGAATATAGGTCGCAGGAAGTGTCCTAGAAAATTGGCGTTAAACACTTGGCACAGCTCCAGACGCGCCACCAGATTGGGAGACCATAGCTCTGTCGAGAGCGAGAGGTATCTGACACCTGGTGAGTAATGAGAAAACTAGAGTTCCACATTCTTGATGGTAGAGGGACGGTGACGTCAACTTTTGACGTCAGATGCCGGTGAGAGGGGAAGTCAGGAAGGGAAAAAGCCGGGAGAAGCCATATTGCAGTGAGACAGTGGAGCTAAGAGGTGCCATAGGGTGTGTCTTCTTTCCCTCAATACCATGTCGGCCTCAAAAAGCAAGTCCAAGACGACGAAAGTCACCGAAACACGTTCTTCGACTTCCATGTCGTCAGCTGCATCTTCTTCTGCGACCCACGAGTTGGGAAGCCCGAGAAAAAGCCGGGTTACGACTTCGTCCAGATCGAGTGGAGCGTTCGTGAGATCGGGAAGTCCATTGTCTCCCACTCGACTCTCAAGGATCGAGGAGAAGGAACAACTGGTTTCCCTCAACGATCGCCTTGCGGCTTACATCGATTGGAACAGGAATCTGAAGAATGAAAACCAAACTCTAAGAGTTCAAGTAGAAACTTCAGAGGAGAGGTTCAGTCGAGAAGTGACCAGACTCCGAGATCTCTATGACTCGGAGTTGAGCGACGCCAGAAGAGTCCTGGACGACATTTCCAAAGATAAAGCAGAGCTTCAGATTCAAAACGATACTCTCAGGACTGAAAATAATGAATTAAGAGAGGAGTGAGTAGACTTTTATCCTGAAGATTTTGTTGGCCTAGCCTAACATTTGGTCCTAACAATAGGCCTAGACTAGTACTTTACAAGATCAGGCCTAATGCAAGGAAGCTATCTTGAAGAAGGGTGGATGACGGGAATAGGTCTAATTCAGTATTACTGTTTTTCACCTAGCACCACAACTTTGGGTTGATGCTAGGCATTTCCTTCCCTAACCCCTGCTTTTGGTGCTTTTGCCAATGGCAGGAAAAGCATGTGTTAATTATCACTGTTAGTGAGCAGCTGCAATGGTGAATCCAGCTCATGAAATGAAGTTTTTTCTGCTGTGAGGGAGATGCCATTTAGAACTTGATGGTTGAGGTTCTTTGGAAAGTATGGAGAATATGAACATTAGAGAAGAGATGATTTGAAACCACTGGAAAGGTATTTTAAAAATCTCTCAATGCCACTCGCAGGAAAAAAAATCAAGCCCAGGGAATGGGTTTGTGCCCTGAACCAGGTTATAATTTTATATAGTTCATTTGTTGCATGGAGAGAATATGAAGGTAGTGTGATGCTCCCATTTGTAAGAGTATTGAATTGACTTATTGTTTTGACTGAAGCATGTATATCAACCCTCTTTGAGGCTATTAGGTACTCATGAATTTCACTTGGTAGTAATTGCCCAAAGTCATGAATAGGCCAGAAAAAACAGTTACAGTATGCACATTATGAATTTCATATAATTAGGTCCAACTTAAGCTTGAACATACTAAATTGCTAGAATTTATGGCAGAGTTGGAGGGACTTGGTGCACAATGCATATTTGAATGAAATCAGAGGGAAGTCTGCAAGGTCCATGCTCATACCCTATGCCTGATATTTTTTGTCCTTTGTCTGTATTTTTGATGTAACTTTGTAGTTGGATAACTTTTATGGTGAAAGAGAAATAACTTTTGTCCAAGTTTAGTGACTAACTTTTTTTACTACTGGCTACAGTAATTACTTTCTTTGTTTCTAACCTATTCATTGCAATTCTGTACATATTAAAGATGCATTGTTGTGTGCATGCTAGGTTTATTTTAAAAATTAATTATGCACATTTATATATTGCATATATCCCATGTAGTTTAAAGTTGTACCTTCACCTGTTGGGAAAGGCTTGAACTATTACTAACAACAAATTATCTTAGTTTGGCTTAATGTTGATTATTTTTAGCTGTAGCATTAGATCAGTTTCAAGCATTTCTAATGAAAACCAAAGAGTATTGTGATTACCTCAAAACTGAGCTGTTTAGGGTTAGGGAAAATCTCAGACAAGCATAACAAGTAAGGTAACTTTTCTGCCAAACCAGTATTGGGCCAAGCTTAGCCCTCCTGACCATATGGATGGGTGTGGAAGATTGCTTCATTTCCTGGAGCTATTTGAATAATTCTTGTAAATTCATGCAGTTTAAGATATGAGCTTGAAATCGAGTCATTCATCTGTAAAAAAGAGGTGAGGCAGATTTGGAAAGGGAGTCCCCTTCTCATGCATGAGTCATGGGCTTTTCTCAACTCTAGTACAATTGTTCTCTTGGAGGATTTTGTCTCCTGTATGAAATCTAAGTGCATGTTTGTCATGCTTTACATCAAGGGTGTCAAACTCAATTAAGCTGGGGACAGGATGGAACCCATTATGGGTAGTTGGGGCCACACTAAGAAATCTTACACCAAATTTTTAATGCAAAATGGTCTAAAGTCTAAGTGCTTTTTCAAACCAACTAGTGAAGTGGGTGTTGAAAGCTAAACTTAATGAACTAATGGGCTGGATCCAGGCTGTGGACTGACAATTGGAAATTATGGTCTTTCAGACCTGTGCTGATTTTTTTTCTTAAACCCAGACCTCTTTTTTTTTATAGAAAGGCCAATATTCTTTGGAATGTTGGAGTATTTCTCTCTCTTATCTGTTCTATCATTCCTTGTATGGAATGGAATTTCCTGTAATCTGGGAGCTGCAGGTTTATAGGGGGGTAGCAATGATTTATTAAAGATCTAGAATACATGACACATGAAAATTCCAACATGTCAGATTCCTCTACCCAGGTTTTCAACCTGAACAGCATTGTGGCTAAAACCAAGTTAAAGCTGGCAAAGGTTGACCCCACTAGGTGAAACACTAGATCTTTTAATGCTTGAAGCTATATTATGATGAAGAGTGGTGGTTTATATTGGAACCCCCCCCCCCTAAAAAGAAGCAACAGAAAACATTATATGATTGGAACAACATTTAATTTGCCAGAGAAATGGATACATCAATAGAAATGTCATCAAATGCCACTACAGAAAATTTGTCTTTGTCCAAAAAGGAGTAACCTAAGTTGCTACTGTCTGAGGACTGCCTGTGCTACCTTTGAAATATGACCTAAGTTCTTCACAAAACTTAATATTACATATAATCCTGTCTTTGCATATTGTGACGGATGAGGATGGCATCGAGAGGCACGACTGAATGTCCGGGGTTCAGTGGTGTAAAGGTAGCACACCTGACCGGCAATCAGGAGGCCTGGGTTCAATTCCCGGCCGTTCCTTGGCTTCTTTCGTCCTCTCATGCCGTCCAGCCTCCGAAGTTCCCCTCTGTAACAATATTCTATAATGTTCTCAGGGCAAGTGCATAAGAATCCTAATATACTTGTGACATTGTATCAGAGATCATCTACACTTCACTGAGCATCCTCCTTAGTCATTTTCCTGATCATGCAACTGACTCAGGAAAATGAGCTGAATAGTCATGGCACTGAGAAAATTCAAGTTTTGCTAATCAGTTCTTTTTGGTTGTTAATCCACCCTATGACTTTCAGTGTTTCTGGGATTTCCTTTATTGCCAAAACACTCTGAAAACAGAATTATGCTTATCTGTCAAAACTTGTGCTTTCAGAATTATGAGTAAACCAGCATTAATTTTGCTAGTTATCCTGCAAAATAAGAAAATATCAGCTAGCAACTGGAGAAGAGGTTGGATGCAACCAGTTATTAGCAAGTAGGAAGTAAGGTTTATATTTAAAATAAGGCCCCCTGCTTGCCATAGCATCCAGTGAGCCATGTTGAGCTGGAAATTTGCCCTCTGGGTCAGGTTTTAATGAGTTTAAAGGAAAACCCTGCTGCTGTCCAAGAGAAAGACCATCATAATATTTAGTTAACCCTTTCACGCCATGCCTGAGTTCTGTAGCAGCATGCATTCTTTTTCTAGAACTTATTTGATACTGGTGCAAGGACCTTGGGGGGTTGCTTGTGCTCAAAATGTACAGGAGAAAGGGCTAGGGTGTCAGGTGCAGATGTGCGTTCGCGGAATGTAGAATTCCAAAGCTTTGAGCCAAGCACGTGTGCAAACAGGTCCTAGGGGTCGGGAGAAATTTATGCACCCCAGGAATAGCCTGTGGCGCATGCGAAAGAATGAGAGGAAATCCTCTGACGGCGCTTGACCTCACTCTCCCTTCTGTTTTAGCAGAGATTGCCTTCGTTCTATGTTGGTAGCTTGAATGACGAAGCAGGTGACGTCCTCTTCCTCTCCCCCTCCCTTTCCCATTGTGCATGAGCTTACATGGCTTGTGTTTGCCCCTTGATAAATTTTTACGAGGGCGCGTAGCACGGGCATGACGTCACCGAACTTGTATGCAAGCGAGAGAACGTTAGCGGGTAAGTATATCCTTGGTTGAGGTCCGCGGCCACTCTCCCGTGTGTACCGCTTAGTCTGTCGGATCCCGCGGCCCATGGTGGGTTCTAGTCAGCCGACCCTCAATGAGCCCCTTATCTCACGGTCCCCACGTACGTTTCCGTTGTCGTAAATAACATTTCTTGTTCTTCTGCTCCCCCTCCCCTCCATGGGTGTGATTACATGGGCTTGCCGATGAACCTGCCCGGAGCTGGTAGAACCGCTGCTAGGATTAGGACCACGCCCCTTATGCCGTGCAGCCCATAAAGAGGTTTCCGGAGGACTTAAGAAACCGTCCTCGTCATCATCAAGGCGGGAGTGCTGCATCACTAAGGACCAACTGGTGTGCGGCTTTTGACCGTTGAGCAATGGAAAAATGTAGAAAAAATCGTGTGAAGATAATGGTTAGGTTGCCCTCGTCGGTCATGAAAGACGTGTAGGCATTCTTACTGAACGCAGGGGGCTGTTCAGATTACACGTAATCGGTCATATGATGAGCATCTTCCTGGTCTTGGAGTAGATTCTCTTTCTCTTTCTTACCAGTCCATCTGCGGATACGATGAGGACTCGTTCGGTGAGACTTGACTGGTCCAAAGGGGACGAATCACCCCGCCCCTTCCATTTTTCTTCTAATGGCATGAAGTCATAAATTAATCAGTGCACTAATTGGCATAGATCCTGCCCTTCATCTTTCTCTAAATGTCGGGTGAAATGTGAGCTAGCAATTATGGCGCAAAATGAATCCTTAAATCATATTACGAATAACAAAAAAGCGATGGTTCCTATCGCTGACATCCGGCGGTGCCCTGAGATCGTGGGACCGACGCTTACGCATCCCGGTGACTGCAGCTTGGGGGAGAGGTGAGAGCAAATTAAGTGAGGACAATGACGTAGCTGCTCGGTGTAAACAGACCCGCAGTCTCCTGAGCCAGCCCCGTAGGCTCTGCCTGTTGAAGGACCGCCCCTGGCTTGGCTGTCGCCTTTGTGACCCATAAATTTTGCAGGGAACCCTTTGAGCGGCTGAAGTTTGACAGGAAATAACGTTCCCCTAGCTAAGGGGTATTCCATTACGATCGTGCCGGGACTGAACAGGCGTTTAGAATATGACACCCTGAATTCTTGTGCATGCGGTGACTCCACGAAGGCTGAGAGGGTCATGGTGCGGAGGAGGATTATTCACTTCGTAATGTTGACAAATGGCGTTGCATTGCTTATGGCGGCTTTATGGTCTTTATTTCTTTACCCCAACCAACTAAGCTTTTATTAATATTTCATGCTTTTAAAATCTCTTATAGGTATTGCAGCAAGAAATCTCAGTATGAATCTGTGACGGAGACTGCAAAATTTCCTGGATTCGCTGAAACACTGTCTCGAAAGTCATGAAGCATGTAGCTTTATGCATCTGGATGGATTCTGTAATTGCATTAAGCTCCGTTAACTCTCACGGCCTGTAGCGGGATATTTAAAGGAGGGTCTCTGTGGAACCCACAAGGTCAGAGATTAGAGCGCACATTTTATGGCCGTTTTAAAAATGTTTGGAAAATTACCTTTTACAGAAAGCACTCTGAATTGCGCTTTGGGACTGTATCAGCCTCCTTTGCCCCTCTATAACTTTTCGTAAACTTTTACCATACGTCGTGCTGACAAACGCTTATCAGCTGCCCCACGGCCGGTCAAGCACCGCTGCGCAAGAATTCGGGGCGCCGACTTGACGTTATTGTAATGGGATCTCATGAGAACGGGATGGAAAACAGCGGAGGAACAGAAGTTGCTTCTGACATAAAGCAGAAGGACGAATGAAAAGAACGGAGAAATTATCATGACCTTCGATTTGAGGCAGGATCATAGAAACATCAGAAGGTATTAGTTGTTTAAGTTATTGGCACTAGAAGAAGAAACTGTCTTTTTCTCCAAAAATTCATCCCAATTATGGGCTATTTATCATTGCAAAAAAGAATTCTTGTTTTAGCCAACAATTGGAATGTACAACAATACTGACTCATTGCTGTACTAGTTAGATCTTCATTGCAATGAGCAACCACCAACATTGGAACTATGGGGCATGTAAATCTCAGCCTTGGTTGGTTGGCTACTTCAATTCCTTCCACCCTGTCTCAACATTTTTCATTTCTTAATATTAAACCATAGTTGCTGGAACTAGTAGCAGTCCTGTTCTTATCATAATCTGTCTCAACTGGGACAGTGTTTGTCTGGGTATTGCCCCTATCATCAGAGCAGGGCCAGGCATATGGGCCAAGGACCCTAATCTCCTTCCATTCCTTCAGATGCTCATGAGAGTGCCTGTGGATCCCTCTATACATCCCTCTAGAAGCATGAGTGTGCATGGGAGAGAGATGTATTCATGTAGGGAGAGATATATGAAGAGAAAGATGAACTAGTATGAAGTATGTAGAAAAGCTCTGTGCATGTGATGTTTACCTCCTGTTACACAGCATAAGCCTATGGATATTCTGATTAAACAGCATCTCTTATTCTCAAGTTCTCCTGTTGTCTTTTTTTCTCAAAATTGAGGTTCATTCGCATGTTTCAGATTGGATCACAAGACTCGAGACTTGGCAGCAAAGGAAAGAGCTTTAAATACAGCTGAAGCAAGAGCGGCCGATTCGAGCAATCGAGCCAATCAGGCTATTGCTGAACGAAAGAAGGCTGTTGATGATTTGAAGGTATGCTTCCCATCTCTAAGCAGTGTTACTATTCATTGATGAATGAAAACCTGATAAATGCATGATATTAACAGGCAGCAGAAGCTGAACTAGACAAGTTGAGGAAGCAGAATGTTGAGGCCAAGAAGCAGCTCGAAACAGAGACCCTCCGCCGTGTGGACCTGGAGAACCGACTGCAGACACTCAGGGAGGAATTGGACTTTGCCAAGCAGGTGATTCCTTGATGCTGTGATTGATTGATGGTCATGAAATCAATTATGATCAGGCAAATTAAAACTCTGCTTATAGGTCCACACACAGGAGGTGTCAGAGTTGAGAACCAGCAAGCAAGTTGAAATTTCGGAAGTGGACAGTCGACTCCAGCGGGAGTATGAAGACAAACTCCAGGACATTTTGACTGAGCTCCGTCAAGAGCAGCAGTATCAGCTTGAAGAAAGTCGTGCTGACATCGAAGGACTTTACAAGAGAAAGGTCAGTCCTTGCACTCACCAGTTACTTTACCACACAATTGCATGACAAGTCTATAGTCAGTCCTTGAATCGCTTGTGGATAGCTGGATGACCTGCAGAACCATTATGCAAGAGCTTCTGAGGCTAGTGCAACAAAAGATGAAGAACTTCGTTCATCACGGATCCATATAGACAATTTGACATCCCGTGTCTCTGGTCTAGAGGATACCATCAATACGTTGAATGTGAGTTTTTTTTTTCTTTCTGATTTTGAGGTTCTCTGATTATTTTGCTGTATGTTTAACTGACTTTCTGGTTATGGTATTTGTCCATGTAGAAACGAATCAGAGATCTGGAGAAAGCTCTCAGAGATGAACAAGACACTTATGCCAAAGCCTTGGCTGACAAGGACAATGAGTTAACTGCCATGCACAACCAAATGAGTGCCACACTTCATGATTACCATGACATTCTTGACACAAAGATCTCACTTGAAGCTGAACTTCGCAATTACCGTGCCATGCTGGAAGCAGAAGAAACTAGGTATTGCTTGATCGTTCTGTGGTTGAGATCTGATGTATATTTTTTACAGAAGAATTTGTATTGATGTTCTTTGAGAAGTGGTTCTTATTTTAATTTTTTTTGTTACAAAAAATAATTCAGTTGTAGACATCTACACAATGAAGCATTTGCAAGGTTGTTGATGATTGATACAAAGTCACTTAGTTTATTTCTAGAGTATTGCTTCTTTCTCTAGAGAATTACCCTTCAGTATGCCAGAATTCATTGCATGTCCTTGTGGAATGTTGAAGGTTGGACCTGAAGAGTCCCGAGGGAAACAAGCAATCAAGTAGACGAAGCTCTGTCACCCCAGCTCAGGCTCGCCCAGCCAAGCGAGCAAGGCGAGTGCTCCAGAAAGCTTCACAGTTTGATTATACCATCAAATCCTCTGCCAAGAGTGATGTTCATATCACTGAAGTCAATGTTGATGGCAACTACATTGAGTTATCAAATAAGGGGCAAGGGGTGAGTTTAAAACCAAGGAAATGACATACTCATGGGATTAAAAAAAAAAGATTATTGGCAGTTATGACTTTCTTGGCCTCAGGACATCGGGATTGGAGGTTGGGTGCTGACCCACTCCACCCAAGAAGGAGATGGGGATCATGAGACAAGTTACAAGTTTCATCATAGTCTGGTGCTGAAGGCAGGGGCATCAGTGAAGGTGTGGAGTGCAAATGCTGGTGCCACACATTCACCACCTGAGACACTGGTGATGAAGGGAGAGCGTTGGTTCATTGGGGACACCATGCGAACCTCTCTCATCAACACACAGCAGGATGAGGTGGCAGAACGGGAGGCACAGAAGGAACGTCAGTATTCCACCTATGAGACTGAGAGTGTGGGAGAGCATCTGCATCATCAAACTGTAAGCCAGCTCCTTGCATTAGTTAGAATTTCCTATCATATTTGCAAGAGTGTTAATGTGTTAATCATCTTCCTGTATTCTCAAGGGTGATCCTCGTCGTCCAGAGGGCTGCTTGATCATGTGAGATGTGAATGTCAATGGACTACAATTGCACTCACTATTCTGATGAGTTTGTTCACACCCTTTGTCACTGGACATCAATTACACAAGACAAGGACTGTCTTTATTTGTAAGATATTTTGCAGACCGCAGAAGATGCCTTTGCATGGTTAGATGTTTTGGTACGGCTGTTTTTGTGCCTTTATATAATAAGATATTTTGGTGAGACTTTTTTTGTGCCTTTGTATGGCTTTTTTTTTCTGCCTTGAGTACTTCCATCTGTTTACCTCATGCATGAAAACTTCTGTTTGACAACTAGCAATCTTTTGTTCTTAGAGCTGCACTTTGCCATCTGTTGTTCAATCACATTTGAAATGAGTTAATCACATTAGAGAAATTGAACGCTTGAATAGCCTGAGGTCTCATGAGTTTTTGAATAAAAAGCAGTGACAAATCAGAAGATAAATGTTTGTCTGTGAAACCATTAGGAAGTGTGTGACCAGCCGAGTGTGATTGGCCGGGGGCAGCTCTCATACTGCCAGCTGCACTGCTCATCTTGCAGACTGGATGATAGAAATTCAAGATTGCACCATATGCATTTCCTGTCGGCCCCCAAAGTTTCAGGATTAATTTCACTACTGTGAACCAATGAATTCCATTGGTAAAAACCCTTTTTTTCCACAGGGTTTTTACTGGTAAAAAAAAAATAAAAGGATCAGACTTACTTCAACACTTTACATTTTGTTCTGCAAAGGACTGTACTCTTCAAGTTTGGTGATGGCCTCAAGTCTCTAAGACTCCAAGGTCAAACATAGGCCAAGCCAACATTATCACAGGTAGATAGAAGTAGCAGCTCACTGGTGGCAACCTTAATTGATCCTAATTCTCTCTCCTACCTACAATTTTTTGCAATTTGGAGGAAGAGCGTTTTGTTAACATTTGCAAATTATTTTCTGCCCTGTGGCCAAGGTGCCTTCATTTGCATAAGTGCACCTGAAGCTTGAAAGTAGAGCTAGTAGGTATGCAGAACCAACAAGAAATGCACAAAGGAGCAGTTTTGTTCTGAGTCACCCTCCACTGTAGTTCCTGGTGCTTCTGCACTTAGGGACAGAATGTCAGAGCTTCCATGTTCTTTTTGTCTTTTGGATGCATGAAACTAAAAACCTATCACTGCAATGGCCTGCATTGCCATTAAAGGGATCTTCCCTGCACTGAAACACATTTTAGTGTCTTCGTAAGAAGAGAAAAGTTCGTAAGTGGTATTCATGAAGCATTTTTTCGTAAGATGTTCGTACGCAGTTCGTAAGAATGCTGCTCAATTTTGGTATTCACGAAAGCACAAAAGTTCGTATCTTTCTTCGTAAGTCTACGAATGGTCCCGAGGTATCGTAAGTGGCCACTGACGATGTCGAGGGATCTGTGGAACTCTTTCATTGGGTGTCTCAATTAAGCTAAGGTTCATTCACACTTGGCGGTTAACGGGATATATGCACACAGGATTCACAAGATTTTGTCTCGGAGGTTATTCACATTCATCCAGTATCAGAAAAGTAAGACGATAATGCGCCAGCAAAACTCTTTCCGTTCAATTATTGAAAAATCTTTCGACAGAGATCGGACAGTGGGAAAGATCTACCGCCAGTCCTGCCACTCTACCTGAGAAACTTAACTCCTTTCGCCTTTGCACGTCACTTCAGGTCCATGAATTATATTTTCCTTTTTTTAGCAGTTCTCCGTATAGAGGAGAGACAGCTCACTGCCTAAGTCTCTAAATCCTATGCTGGCAATTTCATTTTTCCTACAACGCTTGAGCTGAGTTTCTTTAGCAAGACATTCTTCCTTCCCTCGACTTCTTCAATGAGCATCCCAATTTTCTAACTGGTGAAATTCGATCGTCGACCACTTTCTCCTCTACTCTCCATGATACGAACGTTGATAATGCGTTCAGATCTTTCCTTGGGTATTTCTGAAACCTTGAGGTAGTTTTCATTTCGTTGAGATTCACTGGGTACCGTCTTTTATGGTGTTTTCGAAGATTCGACAGGATCTCCAGTCGTGTTAAAACTTCCTGTAAGAGGAAAAACAACGGCACGGAATGCGCAGAAAGTTTGCAGAAGGCTCCTATGATATGGAGACTCGTGAGTCATGCTGCCAGCGTGAGAACCACGTTGTTTTCTACTCAGCGATTGGTTTGGTAGCTCCCGAGCTCGGTTATGATTGGCTGGCTCATTATCATCGCTACGAAGTTTCATGAATACCAACAATGTTCGTAAGAATGAGACGAGGACTTACGAAGTTTCGTGAATACCAAAGATACGAAGCTCGTACGAAGTTCGTAAAAATATCGCATTCTTACGAAGTTTTCGTGAATACGGCCCCAGGTGAAGATAGAGCAGCGCTGCCCAACCTGCAGAATGCGGTCCGGATCCCGACCGCGGGCGAGATCCGGACCGCTCATCAGCTCCTTCGATTGTTTTCCACTTTCCCATGTCCTGCCCTTAGGCAGTGAGTGGTGTGAACTCGTTCATTCAGGTGACAGTTGCGTTGACCTTGACAAAGACCGAGATAGAAAGACAGACATCCAACCAGTTAGATTTGGAGGCTTTATTGCTACTCCTTCTGGTGTTTCCCCATTGTGCCAACCCCGCGACAATTATCCTCCGTGACAATTAGCCAGCTCCTCTAGAAAACGAAAGGTAGATGGTGAAAATCGCAAATTCACAGACAACTGGATGGAGGAATATCCTTTTATCTAGCCTATTGTACTCAATCCAAAACCTCTTTGTTTGCTTAGCCAAGTTGCATTGAAGACGTTCAAAGTTGCGATCTCCTCCACTTCCAAACTTTGCAATGCTTGCAGGAAGAGTGCGACATGAGTCAACCGTTGTCATTCACATTCAAAGATTTCATCGCATCATTGTAAAAAAGAGGTATTCTATCGGATCAAAAATCCATTTCTAGCCTCTCTGCGAGGGACTTGGGCTAAAGATGTCAAGCCTTTGTTCAAGTCCAAGTCTACAGCTCGCTGATCTGCAGCTGGAGCTCCCTGACATTCATGCAGACGAAGAATTGAAGGCCAGGTATGCATAAATCACTAGAAAATCTAGTAAAGTTCGGGGGGGAGCTGGTCCCTTCTGCCATGTACCCACAGCTGAAGGAGTTGGCCGCCATGATTCTCACTATGTTTGGGTCCATCTACTTGTGTGAAAGTGCGTTTTCCACTTCTGAAGAACCGGTATCGCGCTTCTCTGACCCAGGACCTTATATCAATGCCTTCGCGTCGCTCTGACCGCACTCACACCAGACATTAAGAAAATTCCGAAGTAAAGTCACGATGTCTCACTCAAGTCTGGCAGTTGCCAGATGTCAGATTGAGACCTTTATGATTTTTAGTTAGTGGATCTACTCACGTAGTAGTTGAGCAGCCCTGAGGTAGAGCCTGGACCTCGATATGGCCGATACCAAGGCAACGATGGCACCTATGCACTGAATGCCGTATTCTCAAAGGTTTTGAACTAAAAATAATGTACAATTCCTTAAAGCTAAATTCTAAAATTTATGCAAAATGCTATTACCTTTTCTTCAAGAAAAAAATCAAGATGCACAATTTCTGTACCTAATGTTCTATTTTGGAGTTCAAAACATTTCTCTCTTGACCATATAGCTACAGGATATTAAGTATTTGTTGTGAAATCTGCAAATCGCTTCATCGTCATTCCGCGCAATTTGCGCGGGGCTCTGCTAGTGCACCAGTAATAAGACTTGTTTCTCATAATTAGTGTGGTAAAATACTATAATATGCAAATATTGAGCATATATTGAGGACTAGCAGAGCGTTATGAAGGCCTTGTTCCGAAAGTCCGTGCGACGTTGTCGGCAGTATTTGAAAGAATTTGGCAGAAACGCGCCGCATCTGCAAATCTTCAGTTAAGAGGGACTGAACTGCGTCAAACGTCAATTCCAGGTCATTAGCTATCTACCTTATTGTTAATCGGCGATCGCTACGCACGAGATCTCTCACTCGTGCGATGTTGTCGGCAGTTTTTGAAGTGGATGGACGTCCAGCACGAGGGTCATCTTGGACCGATTCCCGATCATCTTTGAATTTAGCAATCCAATTACAGATGGCACTTTTGCCGAAAGCACGGTCCCGAAGGCTTCTTTAAACAGTTCAATAGTATCCGTAGCCGATTTCCCAATTTTGCAGCAAAATTTGATGCAAACTCTTTGATCATTCATTCATTTATCTCACTGTAAAATCCGCCAAAACAGAAAAAACGCCTGCACTCAACAACTTAATGTGCAACATTGACGCAACGTATGAGGACGGGGTAAGGGGCGTGGCGTGCAGAATTAAACAGGTTTTCATGCCATCTAGACAATGCGTCTATCTCTAGTCTGACGCGCGTGGCGGAGTTAGTCCACGAACTTTTCAATCACACCTCGTATACTGTATAATAGCTTATAACTCCTCTTCCGTTGATGCTATTTTATATCTGATTCATCCGTGCACACCAACTGACAATATGCTTTCAAGCGATGAATAAAATTCCAGGATATTCATTAGAATATAGTCACAGTGCGGCTTACGAACATACTTTAGCGTATTATATATATAGATAATCAAATTGCTTCCTGAGAAGATGCCCCATGGATTGGTCTCATGTGCTAATTCACATTTTAGATCCAACGGTTACCAGTATGAGAGACCAATCATCTTCCACTTACCTATTACAGTCCTCCTGTAATCATCAAAGGAATGAGGATACTTTCGTACCGGCACCGTATTTATTTAATTGGGACAGCAGAAGAAACTACATTTCTACCATGCTTCCCATAACATGATCTTGGATTTCAAGAGGTTATTATAGTTAAGAACAGATATGGAAACATAAAGACGAATTGTGCATTTCTCGTTCCAGGATTTAGGTTGTGGCAATCCGAATGAGACGTCCTACAATGAAAAGAACTCATCTGAGGTGAGAACTGCTTCATGCATATCTTAACTTTGCTATCTTGCCTTATTTGAAGGAAATGCGTAACTCTAGGGCGAGGCGGAGATAATGACTTACATTATAAAGTATTAAAATCCTGGAGAAGGTCATTTTCATGAAGGTCGGTGTGTTGAATAGCCATATACATCGTTAACACATTGATCACTCAATGAGGAATATGTGGGGGGGGGGGGGTTGGCGTACGGATGCCCAATGAGTAGGAAGAGGGTTTTTTTTATGCAAGTGCATATTTTTTAGGCAGACTCGTTAGGGGAAACATTCCAAATAGGAGCATGTACTGTGTCATTAGTATGGGGAGCAAATGATGCCATTTTAAAAAGCCAATAAATTACATATTCTGGAAACATGTAGTTTAAGGGAAAATGGTTTAAAGCGAAAACATAATATTTGAGGTCATTCCCTCAGGTCACAGCGTTCCCTGTGGCGACTTTT